GTTAGTAAATTTCATTGTCCATGATGGAAAAAACATCTTGCTATTGTAATCCTCTGAGTCCTAAACTCTCTATAATTTTTGTTGGATATATCACAACAGACTGTAGACTGTTTTTCAGTACTAGAAATAGCATAGTAGGAGTCAGAAGTCTGAGTCTTAGGCAAAGATTCTGTTTGAAAATCACTGAATGAAATACTGCTATTTATCCTACAGAGCATCAGATCATTATGAAGTAACAGTCAGATACAGAGAGGCAGACTGGAGTGTGTAATGAGAAACCTGGACAGTGTAACAGGCCGTAGTTGCAACTCCCTAACTGTTATCCTGTGAGATTTTTGTGTTGTGAATGATGAATAACAGGTGGGTTTAGGAACAGTCATGGAGGAGGAGGAGGAGAAGAAGAAGAAGACCTTGGCTTTGTCAGAGCTCACTCATGTGGAGCTCTTCTGCACAACAGAGCACTAAGGGAAGTCAAAGCCTTTGCTTCAAGGATATGACAAGTGGGTGATGGAGGAATTGTAAGCCAGCTGGTGGCAACAACTGGCCTTCTGATGCTGACTGAGGGATGAGGGAACCTCAGCCGTGTGCATATATAGCAAAATTTTTATTTTTTTTTTGCTTTGAGTTTGTCTCCCCTCATTCATGCCACTTATTAAATTTAAACTTCCAATATCTTTTTGGAACTAGAAATTTTAAATTAAGGATAGCTTTTTTCTTGCTGCTTTATTTTCTTAAACTGTCTAATTCTCATTGGTTTTGTAAGGCTATTCACATATCTAATACAGTCATTCATTAAGACCATCAAGCTTTGAATTAAGATTTAAAATACAGTTGTTTTGGAAAGGGATAGTGAAATACTCCAAATTTCTTATCTAAATCCTGTTTTTCAGACTAGGTGGCAAATAGTATGTGTTTGATCAGCATGCACAGAACTTAGAAAACTGATTGATCTTTTAAAATAAGCTCACATATCTTTAGTATAATTCAGTATCTGCTTTAAAAATGAAAGTCTAATAGCTGGCGATATAATAAAAAGGACTATACCATCTGCTAGCTGTATATAATTATATTAAAAACATCAGTCTGTACTTGATTCAACAATTTTCAAGAGCTTGTTAACCTTTCAAATTAGATTTGTACTATCAATTATACTTAACAAGGAACTTTTTATCCATGGCTTTTATATTTCCTTAATTAGTTTCATAACTCATTTTAGGTGTTTTTTTTAATACATTAATGTCACCGCCATACAACCCCAGCAGGATTTTCACATCTTGTTTCGACTTCCCCCTTCTCTTTCCCCACTCACCCCACTGTTACACTTTGGTAATGATGAATGCTATCACCTCCGTCTCCACTCCAATCAGCCCACGCTCGCTGTGTGGCTCACTTGAAATAGTCATATTAAATATGTGAAGAGCCCGACTTTTTGTCTCTGAGAGTACTGGTGTGAATAGGCTCTGCAGTCACCCAGGTTCAGACTGTCATCTTTAAAGAATGGATTACAGATATTACATAATTACCTCTAGCACTATCCATGCAGTTTTTAAAAAGATGTGAGAAAGGCTTTTTTTTTTGCCTCTGAAACTTTCAGAGAATTCTCCTCGGTGAGTTGTTCTCACCTTGATCCTTTTGAGGCAAGACTTAAGCACGTAGTGTGTGTATTAACAGTTCCAGCGCTACCTTTGGACGGTGCGATGCACCCCTGGTGGATCGCTCCATCTCACCAGCACTCAAAGCAAGTAAGAGGTGTAATGGCATTGCTGTCCAGAGGTACTTTTCCACAAACAATACCTGAAGTAGTCATTGAGATGAAAAGAGATTCTGCAGCCCAGGTATCAGCATCTTACTGACACCTTCAGTTATGCACGTGGGAAGGATCCTACAGTTGCTGTATGAATGGTGAATGCTGTGCGCTCACTGCAGTCAGTTAATCCTCTTCTGTTTAATTCTACCTTACCTACCCCCCCCAGAGCATTGTTGAAAATATGCAATATTGAGAATAAATCTCAATAGTATTCATGATTTTTATAAGTAAGGTAGAAGAAGCTCCACTGTTGAGGAAAACCAGAAAAAATGACACAGCATTAGAAAATATTTAAAAAATCAAAACGACAGTCTCAAAAGCAGAAAATTTAAACAATATGAAAACAAAACAATAAAACCTAAACAACAAAACCTAAACAACAGGAAAGCCTAAACCTAAAACCTAATCAAAACCTAAATCAGCTGTAGTCCATCTGGATCCAAATATTTGGATATTACAGTTTTTTAATATCAGTAAAATTCTAATCACTCACCAGAAACTGCTTTTACACAGTCTCGCAGTCTCATTTTCCATACATTTTTTTATGCTTTATTTTAACTTTTAACATGATATTTTTTATGACTGTTTCCAAAATATGTTTTGGAAAGCATACATTACACGTTAGAGTACCATATTGCAACCAGCAGTAATGTTGGTAGCTTAGGAGTGCTGTTTCTTTCCATCTTTTCTTGCCTGTCACATTTTCTAGGCTTTGGTTACTTTACATCTTTCTCGAAGGCTCCAGCAGAGATCTCCTTGCTGAGTGGAACAGAACATAATTACACGTGTACAGCAGTCCGTGCTCCTGTTTGTGTATGTCAGTACGGGGCTTTTCTTCTTCAGTAGGGCACTGCTGAATCTTGCTCGTTTTGCGACCTGCATTAATTCTTGAGAACAGCACCCTGACTAATTATTCCTCAGCCTGCGCTGGTGAAGTCAGGAACAGCTGCCTGTCCACAGAGCTCTGTAATTCTGCTTTCCTGCTGTCTGTTTGCTAAAGGTTGTCATCCAGCTTCCTAACCTCCAAGTTAATAAGTCCTGAATAGTGCTGGCCATAGAATGGACCTGCAGAGCTCTGCTGGAGTCACCTGTCTGCCTTTAAAGGGAACCCTCGATAATGAACTCCCGTGTGCACGTGTTCATGCAACTTTCCATTTTTAGAGTGCTTATTAGTTTTGTGTGTACCTGTTTTCAGCTTCCTGGCATCCTGGCGCTCCATCCATCTCCCAGGAGTTCTCTAAGAAGACCACATACTTTTGTCATCGGTTTTTATTGTGCTCAGCTCTCTCTAATATTTGACAATTTTAACAACAAGAAAAAAAAAAAGTGAAAAAATAAAGGGAGTGGGAGTGGGGTTTAAACACTTGGCCTTCCAAATGCTGTCTCCTTCAAACTATTAAAAGACAGGCGATCCTGCCTAGGACTGTGGCAATTCTGTGCAGTGCCCTACAAATTGTAGTGCCCTAAAGAGATAGGGGGCTTTTATACCCACCAGCAATTCAGACTAGCTGGGAAACGTGTAGCAGAGCATGATTCCTGGCATTCCTGTTCTCCATTTTCCTCCTGCCTACCAGTTCATGCGGGGTAATATTGGGAAAGTGTCCTTCTTCATGTGTCCTTCTGCAGCTCCACCTGAACAACTTAGTTGGTGGCTGCATGATTAAATAAAAGTTAGGAGAACATGTTCAAAGAGGCAGAGAGAACATTCTGTGAGATTTTAAAGGTTTACATTGAAGGGGAGAAAAAAAAAAAAAGAAACTTAATTTTTCAGTGTAAGTCTTTTCTACCTGTACTCTTATTATTTACCCTGCTGAATGTCTTAAGGTTCTGTGGGTTATTTTTTTTTTTTCTAAAGTACTTGAAGATGGAATAATAGGAAGTGTATTTAGTAATTTTTGTTTCCCGGCACCGTACCTTAAAAAACAGTTCTGTATATATCAATAGGCTCCAGTACATTTTAAGTGGTTTTAAGTTCTGTACCTCATATATAGTCTGCAGTAAGGCAGCAATTTGTAAGAGAACTCATCCTCAGCTATTTCCAGATATGAAACACAAGGCAAGGCACTGCATTTGCAAAGTTGGCTGCTGCCATGATAAGCAAAAATAGTTTGTCGAAACCTTTAAATGTTGTCTCAGTCCATAGTCACTCAACATGTTTTTGGCAAGTTACATGAAAATCACCATGGAAATGAAGGTATTGCATAATGCTTAACTTAACTTATGGCTAGGGTAAATAATGTGTAAAATGAGTGGAGTTATTAAAGGCAGAAATTAAAACAAGGCTACTTAGTACAGTATACAGGCTCAAATAGAAATTATAAGTTTAGAAGTATAGATGACATAAGAAAGTATATTATGTTATTATTTGGTATTATGACAGTTAATTTCTACAGTTCTTTATTATTTTTTTCTTCCTTGTGTTCCTTTAAAATAGTCACAGTAATATCACCTGTTACTGACAATGCCATCAAATTCACAATAGTATTTTACAGTAGGACACAGATAAGTGAAAATAAAGGGCAACAAAGTACTGGAGACCTTCCTTGGGTCTCTGGGTCCATCGGTAAAGACAAAGGGAGCAGATCCCTTACAGATCACAGGGTGGAAGTCTTGGCCTCAAGGGGTATGGACCTGCTTCATCTATGAACATACATTTCATGAGACGCATATCTCAGACTTGGATATTTATTTAGTTTTGTCTCCTTCACTTGAGTTCTAATTAATCTATAGCTAAATGTCCTTAGCTAAATTAAAGCATTATTTTTGCATAGCATTTCAGTGCAAATTGATTATATTTTAAATAAAAAACAGTGCTTGAACTTTTCAAACCCCAGACATTCAGATATTTTACTATTACAGAAATTCATAAATCAGCACTCCGTAATTTAAAGAAGAATATTAGTGCATTTAGTGAACAAAAACAGTCCTTGAAAACTTGTCTGGCTTAACTTCTCTCTTCATTTTTCTCCCAGATGATTTATATTCCTTAGTCATGTATATGTTTTTTCAACAGCAATGCTAGTTTTGTAAGTATGAAACATAAATGCATTTAAAATAATTTAATTTAGTTATGCCTTGTACTAAGTATAGAGATATTTAAATGGGAAATTTAAAAAACAATTTTACTTTTTAGCAACTTAAGTATTTGTTTCACAGTGTTGTAACAGTATCCGTAATAAACTTGGTCCTTCTAATCTAGATACCTGTCTCTGAGACAAAGAACTGAGGCACAAGGTTTTTTGAAGCACGGATGTTTTTTTGAAGCATGGATGCCTGATTCAAAGTGAAAGACTTTGTATTTCTGGTAAGAACAACTATCCACATTTATTTCCAACAAATGATGATAGCAAATCAAATGGAGACATGTAGAATTTTAGATATAAATTGCATACAATTCTTCATATTGTATGTGTGCATTAAAAAAAATATGAGAACACTGTAAGCGTAACAAAAGTATTTGTGATTCTTGTGTCATGTGCTCTACCAATGTTAAGACATTAATTTAAGAACAAAAAAAAATGTACTATGTGATGGGCTACTTACAACTTTATTGTGGAAACCTCTCCTTATATCTGTCATTTCCTGGATGCAGGTTTCTTGCTGAAAAGGCTTACTGCCAGATTTTAATTAATTTAATTTACAAAGAGTGAAAGTGGTTCTGAGCATTCAGGAGACATCACCTGGAGAGTTAGAATTAATTATCCTGTTGTAGCATGTAGTGCTTTCTCCCAGAGTATGACCTTTAAAGATGCTTGCACGTCCTTCTAGGTTGTATAAGGAAGAGAGTAAGGTCAGAAGCTAAACCAAGTGCTTGTGAGAGTCCATTTGTAGCTTCTGACCTGGTGCAGAGGGTTTGAACTCACGTTTACTTATATACCCTTTAGGTACCAGTGCAAGGTAATAAATCTGCTGTCTATGAACCTAAGGAGAACAAATGAAACTAATAATAAGATGAGCTCATAATAAATATAAAACGTAGGGTATAAAGGACAGGGTAGACTATTTCCTAAACTGGATATCTCAACCCATTTCAGTGAATAACTGCACAAATAAACTGTTACTCATTTTGAAGGTTAAGCTAAACTAATACCTTTAAAACACTTGAGTAAAGTTTAAATGCAATCTACTATTTACAGTAAAGCATTCCCAGTGTTAGACTCAACTCCTTCCCAAATTGATTATATTCTCTTTTGAGCAGAACTAAGTTTCAAGCACCTAATTCAAGAAGAGTCATCCATCTTCCTTTCTGCTAGCCAGACAGCTCGATATTCCAGTTTCTTTAGAAAGTCTAACTTGCCAATGGAATAGATTTTTTTCTTCTTTAGCAATACAGGCTCTCTTTGGGTAGTTCCAAGTCTGCTTAGTATTTATTTTGTTTGTGACAGACACTCATTTTGCAAACAAACTCATATATACATTAGAAATGAGAAAGAAATATAATTTAAAAGCGAAATGCTGTTTTACTTATGGAGTAATTTTAAAGATCTCTAAAGATTAATAAAGATTTTACTTAAAGATTTAGAGATATTTTATACATGCTCTAAATACAAAAAGCAATTATTGTTACCTGGGAATGTAGATTATGATTTCATATTATTTTAATTTATTGGTTTTGCTTTTTTTTTTTTTTTTTAATCAGTAATAAATAACTAGATATTATGGTCATGAATCTCATTAGGAATACATCCAACTACTTCTGTAGAAAATGCTGGTATCTTATGTTTTAAGAAACATCATTCTTACATGACCCTGGAATAATGACACTTCATATTGCAGAGCAAATCAAGCAGAGAAGTGATCAGGAGTTAACCAAGTAACTTCAAATCACAAAATTGTTTGGCATTGATGGATTGAATCCATCAGTGATGTCAATCATAAGAGTGGTACAACGTGGCTTTTGCAATGAACTTGGCAAGGGTACATTGTTTTCTGTCCAAACACAACAGCCAAGGAAGAAATGCTGTTTTCAAATCCCTAAGTGATCTAACTCTATATTTTTCACAGCTAAAATTGGACATTTCTGTTGGCATTTATGTTCGTTACTGTCACTGGTTATGAACCAAATGCATCCTGGCAGTGGCTTAAAAAAAAAAAAAAAAAAAGACAATTCAGTAAGCAATCACCTTTACTATTAGCACTTCCATTTATAGGCCTTATTTGTGCAAGGATGTCCCAGCTCCTAATATGGTCAGCATTTTCCCAGAGAAGGTGAAAAGACCACCTTTGAATTTTTGATTAAGTACAAAATGCACAACAGAAGTCATATAACCTCTGTGGTACTTCAGGTGTAAAACTGCCCTGTGTAATGGTTGGAGTCTAGCACTGCAGCTCCCAAGAACTGAAACACAGCTGTGGGACACTACTCAGCCAACTGTGGCCTTACAATAAGAGTTTTGTAATTAAGGCAGGGGTGGAACTTCAACTTTGAACATGTATTTTTTCATTGCTGATACCATTCTTCCAAAAGCTTCCGTCAGGAATTTCTCACATTGTTCTACCATGTTCAAATGTCAGTAAAAAACATTTCTGATCTGCCAGGAATTACAATGATATTTGACTTAGATCACCACAGCGGTTGTGGTTTTTTGTTTGTTTCTTTTGTTGATCTTTTGAGGAATGGTCCAGAGACATCAAAGATTACAACAGTGATGTTTGAATGTACAAAACCGAAGCTGTCACATCTTAACAATGCTCATTTGGGGTAAGCTTGAGGATAGGACTTAGAAACTCGAACTGAGGCAATTCAACAGAATTCAACTTATGGTTGACCAATCTTTTCTCGTACTTTCATGAATCTGCTTGGTAGAGTACCATGGGGCAAAGCCCTAGAGGAAAGAGGGGCCCAAAAAAGCCACTTGATACTCAAGGATCACCTCCTTAGGTGCTAAGAAGTGATGCATCCCAACAGAGAGGAAAGAAGACAAAAACAGCAGGAGGCCTACGTGGATGAAAAAGGAGCTCCTGGCCAAACTCAAACAGAAAAAAGGAGGCCTACAGAGAGTGGAAGCAAGTACAGACAAGGATCAGATTAGGAAAAACAAAGCCCTTTTAGAATTACATTTGGCCAGGGACATAAAGGGCAACAAGAAAGGCTTCTGTAGGTACATCAGTAAAAATAGGAAGAATGGCAAAATCGTGGGCCCTCCCTGGAAGGAAATGGGACATCTGTTCACCTGGAATATGGACAAGGCTGAAGTACTCAATGACTTTTTTGCCTCAGCCTTCACCAGCTCCAGCCACATAGCCTGGGCTCCAGAAGGCAAAGGAAGGACGAGGGAGAATGAACAAAAACACACTGTAGGAGAAGATCAGGTTTGGGACCATCTGAGGAACCTGAAGGTTCACTAGTCTATGGGACCTGAAGAGATACACCTGTGGGTCCTGAAGGAACTGGTGGACACAGACAGTGGGACCAAGTGCACCCTCAGCAAGTTTGCCGATGACGCCGAGCTCTGTGGTGTGGTTGACACACCACAGGGAAGGGAAGGATTGCCATCCAGAGGGACTTGGGCAGGCTCCAGAGGTGGGCCTGTGTAAGTCTGGTGAGGCTCAACAAGGCCAAGTGCAAGGTCCTGCACCTGGGATGGGGCAATCCCAAGCCCAAATCCAGGCTGGGTGGAGAACGGACTGAGAGCAGCCCTGAGGAGAAGGACATGGTGGGGTTGGTGAGTGAGAAGCTCAAGATGAGCCAGCAACGTGTGCTTGCAGCCCAGAAAGCCTCCCGTACCCTGGGCTGCACCAACAGCAGCGTGGGCAGCAGGGCGAGGGAGGGGATTGTCCCCCTCTGCTCCATTCATGTGAGACCCCACCTGGAAAATGCATTCAGCTCTGGGGCCCCAGCACAAGACGGATGTGCAAGTATTAGAATGAGTCCAGAGGAGGGCCAAGAAGATGATGAAAGGGCTGGAGAACCTCTGCTATGGAGCCAGGCTGAGGGAGCTGGGGGTGTTCAGCCTGGAGAAGAGAGGGCTCTGGGCCTAGAAGCCTGGGCTGGGGAGAGTGGGCCCAGTCCATGGAGGGGGGCTTTAAGGGCCCTTCCAACCCAAACCATGCTGTGATTCTGTGAAACGGGAAGAAGTTCAGTAGGAAGCAATTCAAGGTCATTCATTTGGGGAGTAAAAATAATTTCAGGTGGAATTTAGAAGGGATGGAGAAGGAGGAGCGGAGTTCAAATGCACAAGTGGTATTGCATGATGACTGTGAGTCACTAATGAGATACAAGGCTAAAAAAGGTAAATGAATCTTAGGAGCTCTGTCAAACATGACCAAAGATGTAATAATGTACAGTTAGACCTCATTAGCTTGAGAAGCGATATGGATGCAGGGTGAGGAAAGAGCCTTTTAAACTGAAAACTTGTGCTGGTGAAAGAACAAAAGGTTTAACATTGGTGATGGCTACATTAAAGCTAGATGTCAGAGTAAGCTTTCTGTACCCTAGGGCACGGGGATCCCAGAACAACCTTCTAATCAGAAAAAGGAGAGCAAAACGAATAATTGCGTTGCTGGGTGAGTAGCTCAGTCTATAGAAGCAATTATCTGATGTGATCTTGCAGTAAGCCTAACGAGCCAGGAAGGAGTCCTGCTCAGTTCCAATCCCTAATCATGCCTGGAGCTGGGTTTTGTATTGGAGAGACACATCCCCTGTGTGGGGACATATCTCCTGTGTTCTCTGTGTGCCCTAAAGACCTGCCCAGTTATTCTGCAGGGACATTGTTGCTCTTTCTCCCTTTGTTATCTATTCTATTGAAAGCCTAGGGCTCATCCTGAGCTCTACAAAAGGTTGACCTGCAGCACACAAACAATTATTCCAGTAAAACTAAGGCTTAGCAATATGTAGATACCCATGTCACTGTGTATATAGCCATTTCTATATCTTTCATGTTTAAGATATATTATTGTGCCTAAGTTTTAAAGAGTACTGTATTATGATTTTAAAATATTGTGTAAAGTCCGTCAACAATTATGGACCCAATCTTCAAAAATTTTGCCTTGAATAGCATTGATTTTACACATTTTGTGCTTTAGGTCTTTTTTTTTTTTTTTTTTTTTAACTAAAGACAATTTGTCTTTCTTGCTGCGCTCACATGCATGCCTTTTCAGTGGCATCATCTCCATTGGCATGTGAAGGCTGAAAAATATTAGCATTCTATAAAAAAAAAAAAAGAGAGATTTAGAGAAGCATGTAATCCTTCTGTTTGAGAGTAAAACAATGATGCTGAACATGTTCAAAAATATCTGTTTTTATTCTTATCCAGGACCCATTGTTTGATGATGCAGAGTAAGTGCTTCATGCTGCTTGAAGCGAGCAGCAAAATTATCCCACGCCTCACCCCTCGCACACGGGAAGAAAAAATAGACCCGTAATCCAGCAGGAACTTATAATGTCACACACGGTTGTATCATCTGCTCTAGGAAACAACGCGGGCCTTTCATTTAATATTGGAATAAGGTTAGTGAAAACAAAACCAACTATAAAACTGCCACCTGTTACATGTGTTGCGCTGAGTACAGTAATCAACTCAGTGACCCTGCCAAGGAGTTGTAGATTTGCAGAAAGGAAAAATTTAAACTTAGTATTGCTTGATGCAAGTGAATTGCATTGTGGATTGGTGTTTATTTGTTAGCACTGAAGGTTGAACTCATCCTGTTTGTTGATTAAAAGGTAAGAGTAAAGACAAGGTAGTTTTGCTGAACTGGAACATGTGGCTTTACTGATATGGCAGGTTAATTGTAATTGTAAATAATATAACCATGGTGATACAGCAAGGAAAGTTATTCTTTAGTATCATAGCCAAGAAGGTTAAGAAATGGCTGCAAACTGAACAGGCAAGGTAGAGTAACTTGTGAAAAGCATATGTAAGGAAGTTTTTATTTAGAACTTGACTTAGGGTGGTATTTTGGGAGATCATGGCACATTGTGTTTTGTTATTTTTGGTGATTACTTTTGGTTAGGAGCAAAGAAATGTGCTTTTAGATTTCTCTTTCTGTTTATATAATCAAGGAATGTATTAACTTCAGAATGATTGTTTAGAATGAAATGGAAATAAGAAAAGGAAGGTTACCTAGACTGCAACTATTTTGACATGTACCATGTCATTAGCTATGAAATAAAATTTTCCATGACACTTTCTGTCTTTCCTTTTGGGGAAGTTAATTATATTTAAAGATGATAAACACCAATCTGATTTTCTTCCTTTTTCTTTTTTTTTAAACCAAATGGCTTTAAGTATTTATAAAATACATCTGGAAGAACCAGTTTAGAAAACATATGAAACCTTTCCAGAATTTATTCTAAGCACCAATTTAATTTAATTTAACAAAATAGAAAACTGAATACAAGCTGTCTGTATCACTAATCCTGTTTGTGAAATTTTCTTAACAAACAGTGAAATGTGTATTATAATCCCTTTAAATTTGATTTCCGTTTTAAAGGCATTCTGTGCAGTCAATAGAAAAGCTGGCATCCACTTCAAATAAAAACTTCAGCAGGTTCTTGAAATCATAATTTCTTACATTTTAAAATACAGCAAAGATGTTTCCACTGATGTCTGTGGAGCAACACTCACTAGGGTCATTGGCTAGTTGAATCAGTCTGCAAAAAATCAACCCCTAGAATAACATTTCTTAACTATTCTATTTCAATAAAACCCTTTATGAGGCTACAAGATCCATACAGATGGTACTAATTATGTCTTGTTCTTTTTAAGATGTTTTTTTTTTCTTCTAGATTTATTTGTCCACATATCAGCAAAACACAGAACACTGTTATATATAACGTCTGCTCATTTAAGCATAAAATCATCTTAGAACAAGTAATTCTTTAATTATTGCATATGCTATATCACTGGTAATACAATTTAGGGAAAAAATGTTAAGCAAGCAGCAGCTAGTTATTAATAAATCACAGGGTCTTGTGTCACATACACCCTGGTACAGAACAAGTGCCCAGTGACACTACTTAAAAGCTGCATGGGATCACAGATAGCAGCTAACCTTTTTATGCCGTATGTGTGTGCTTACTTTGAAGGATTAAATGCGTTTGGAGTAAAGGGAGAGCTCTGTCACTGGCTGAACTGAGACCTGGGTGCATTGGCTACTAACAGTGGTGGTAAATCTGGGGATTAAAATTGATCTTCTGATGTAAGAGAGAAATCAATAACTGTCATAATCAGCAACAGTTAATTACAAGATAAAAGCTATGGTGGCTCTTAAGCATGTAAAGAGTAGTGTGTGCAGGAAGGGACAGTATCACCCAAATGTATGACTTTTTCCCCACCTGTCACAGCTGGTGGCTTGGTGCCTTCTCATGTGAAGATAAAGTGCCCCAAGAGCAGATGGACAGGAGGGAAATTAAGTTAACCTGAAGAGAAGTCACTGTCACCAGCTTAGCACTGGTTTGTCTGCCACAGCAGGCTCTTCGTGTCCCCACGGGATTTCTGGACATTACCAAGGCTTTACTGGCATGGTGTCACAAAGCTCACAACAAGAAGGTCCTACATGCAGGTCTTTGAAGAGACCCCCCATGGTAAGGTAACCTTAAAATCAGAAAAGCTCTGTGGCTTTTCTGATTATCCTGTGACTACACAGGACTTGGATGGAAGCAACATTCACTGGCACAGGCTGCCCGGAGAGGCTGTGAATGCCCCATCCCTGGAGGTGTTCAGGACCAGGTTAGATGAGGCCCTGAGCCATCTGTTCTAGTGGGTGGCATCTCTGCCCATCACAGGGGGTTGGAACCTAATGGTCTTTGAGGTCCCTTCCAATCCAAACCATTCCTTGATCTCAGTCCTGTACAGGAGTTACTGAGTGCTTCATTCAGTTGTGCGTGTTCCGTTTATATTTCTTCCACATCTCATATTTTATATGCTTTCTAGAGATGTGTAATATATGTAGAATTTGTAATTATTTTATAATTCGCTCTTATTTCTCACTATCCAGCTCTATTTCGACTGGACATACATTAATTTTGGTCATGTTGAGTCTGTTTTGCCTGAGACAGTAACTGGTGATTTCCTTGTCTTTATCTCAACCCACAGCTTATTTTATCCCTCTGTCCTGCTGACAGCTGGCCAGCCAGCCAAGCTCAACTCACCATGGTTGAGTGGTGATTGTGGAGCACATCCAGCTTACAGAACATGTGTTGCTGAGAACAAAAAAATAAATAAAAATAAATAACTAAGTAAATAAAGACTACAGTTTTCCAGAAGTAGGGTGGATATTGCTAACACGTTTTATCAGTGCTTTCAAAGCCTGACTACAGTAATTCTGATGTTTATGGAGTCAGCGTTAAGTGGTTTGGTGTTTAATGCTGTGAAATAACTCTATAGCTGAGCAGTAAGAGCACATCCATACTGAATGCAAGGGCTTGAATGTGGACTTTTCAGTTTGGCTGTGCACACTGAAATCGAAGGTGGTCGGAGAGATGCAACAAACTGGTCTGGGAAACAAACATCACTAGTGCTGTGTTCCTTTGCAACAGTTGCACACAGATCTGGATGCAAAAGATTTGACAGGTTATGTGCCAGACTAAATGATCTAAGATTTCAAATGGTCTTGGTATAAAATTAGAGAGCGGTACTTGTCGTAATAGGGTAATGGAATTAAATCTGAATGCAGTGTATGGCAATCAATTAGTGGCAGCGATAAAAATACTATTTCCTCAGTTACAGTGAGAGTGGATGATGCAGCAAAGCAGAAGTAGAAGGCTGATGCGAGAGTAGGAGAAGGGAAAAAATAACTTATTTGGCAAAGGTAGGGAAGATGTCACATGAAATGTTTAGAAAAGAGGATGATTTTTATGTGCTTGCTCAACTGTAAGAAGTGATGTTAAAAAAGCTGGTCTCGTTTAAAAACCTTATTGATGTGAATTTGAAACTGGTTTGATAGCCTCTCTTTAACTGGCAGGACGTAGATTGCTGCTTCATGGGAAATGGAGTGCAATTAGTAACTTCACACAGCTGCAGACAGTAGTCAGCAGTAACTTTGGGGCATTTCTGATTTCAGCTACATGCGAAACAATATTGTAATGTGTTGCCTTGCTGGTATGAAATTCCCCATAGGTCTGTCTCCACACAATAACTGTTTTTTACAGTCAATGCTGTTTCTCTCACATCATCTTTGGCAAGGACCACTTGGGGTTTTCCCTTGCACTGGAGCCTGGGGAATGGTTTGTTTCCTTGGAGCATCTGGAAATTTCATCTGAAAAACTCTTTATGTCAGGGTCTTGGGACCTGACAATGCCTTTGATCTCCTGGTTTTCTGTAGCACGACAGCTTTTGTAGCTCTTGGTCTTTTTGTGGGCCTCAGATGTGTCTCCCCACAATGATTTGCAGAGCATTTTTGACCCCTTGTAGGTAGGTAGCTTAAAGGCACATCCAACAAGCTGTTCTGGATTGAATGTCTGTTAAATGATTTTAAGTGGATCCTGTGACTGATAGCCCAGAGTGTCCCAACCAGCCCTGCTTTCCTAAACTTTGAGGAGCATTCAGAATGAGACTTAACAAAACATAGATTTTCATATCAATATCTTGGCAAAAAATAAAAATAATTTAAAGATCTAGAACAAACTAAAGCTGTTTTTCTCTTCTGTCAGGGAGAGAAAACATTCTTACAACTATCTGCAGTCATAAACTTTCAGTTTATCTTACTTGTATTAATATGCCCACAGATGTGATGTATGTAAATGAAGTAAATATTGATTTATAAACTATTCAGAGTTTTCATTACATGGAGAAGCCATTATGCAGTGCTAAAAATGATAATTTACTTAATCTGCAGATTATTTTGAGTTGAGCAGAGACAAAAAGCAATGTAAGATCCTGCCCACTTGTTGCTGTCTTTACATATTTCACTAGCAAGGTTCCCAGTTTGGAGCCCAGGGATGTTCATGGTTTGACTGATACCTACAGTTTCTTTTTACCATGTCTGATTGGCAGTGTTAGACAACATGAGATGCAATGGTTTGTATTGACCAACTCTGAGATAGCTACCCTAATGTCTTTGGTTTAGACTCTCTCTCTCCCCACCCCCCCTTACCAACTCCCTGCCAATAATATGGCATCTGCTTCCATGAATTTAGTTATTCTTTATCTGATTTATAGTGTATAAAACTGTAAAAACTGCCTCAGCATACTTGGGGTGCAATGAACTGCAGATCAAGAGCTGGAATGAGGAAGGAAGGCAGGGACTTAGTAAACTATCTTTTTGGAATCAAAACCCTTTTTTTGGTTTTGATTCAATAACACAACAACAGCCTCCTTGGTAACTTCATAACATACCTCTTTTAACTCTGCTGATTTTATGTAATTAAGCCGTGCTCTGTGTTTTAAATAAATATCCTGCAAATAGAGCAACTGGTAGCCTATGAACTACTTTGAAGCAGTTAGGTCAAAGGCTGTCTCATCATGTCTAACTCAAGTGCACAAATAGGTTATTTTTGTTAATTTTAGTATTTTCTTCATCACGAGCTTCATAAAACACTAATTTTGTTTGATGTAGGTCCTCAGCCTTTGACTTCAGATGTGGATGAGGGCTAGGGCAGAGGCAGTGAATGTTCTGCAGCCCCATTCTGCATTCTTCTTCCTGTGGGGTGAGTTATTTTAGCCACTGGTGAAGTACTGCTCTTCAGTGTGTGTTTACTTAGTGCTTAATCCGGATTAACAAACTAGACAGCTCTGTGTTTCCTCTTGAAGGAAACTCTAATAGGCTTGGTGGCACAGTAAGAGAGGGGAGATAAATATTTGTAGAGCTAAATACAGAGCACGGGTAATGATGCCAGCGCATAGCCCCTAACTGTATGACAAGGCTTCAAAGGTAACAAATCCAGGAGGAACTCAAGATTAGCTCAGGAACTTGGAATGCAAAGAATGACCAAAAAAAAACAAGCAATTCAGAGAGTATGAGCAAAAAGAGCACAGTTGGGTAGGGTGGTTGAGAACTTGATAGGAAGAACAGCTGTGGACTTACGCAAGGCCTATTTTATAGGGGGACACTCAGCAGTGGGGACACTTGGATTTCTTCAGGTGACATAGTGCCACAGGCTGATGATGGGAAGCATAGCCTGATGGTTGGTCATCAAAGTCGATCAATTAAAGAAAATAAATAAACAAAAAAAAAAAAAAAAGAAAAAAAAAAGAAAAAAAGCTTTTTTTTTGAGCAAGAGACCTTTGGGATAAAAAGGATAAGATTTAGTCAAACAAGAGTGGTGGAACAAGAGGCATCGTGTTCCTTTCTGTCTCATAGGTTATCAGCTCAGCAGTTTGGCAGTTTGTGGTGGAGATATCTGTCTTGCTAGTTCTTTAAATCATTACTAGATATGCTTTCAATTCTAGGTTTATAAAGAAACTGATATGAGTTCGGGATACTTAACCTTTGCTGATTCTACAATTCTTTTTTCTTTATGTAATCCTCAGAGCTGAATATACTCATGTCAGATGTTGGACTCTGAAAATTACCTGTTAAACTAATGCACACAATAATTTTAGTTTGTTTTTCTCTAATATGCCTTATGTAAAAGAGACTTAATGTTAGTAAATTTAATAATTTACCTTCACAGAAAAGCAAATGGGTTGATGGATTGTCTAAATTGTGGCAATTGTTTAAAAGGTCATGAATTACAGCATTTAGAGACATACCATTTTATTTGTCTGGGTGGCTTTCATTAACACAGACCAAATATGTTCTGTGTAGCTAGCAAAGCTAAAACACTGCATTTAAGAACTTTTAGAAATTATTCAGTAGCTTCGGGTAAATGTGTACAGTGTAAGACTGCACGTGCTATGATGTAAGGAGGGTACTTAGGGTGGTTCGTGGCAAAGAAGCTGCTGCAGTGGCCTTTCCTGAGGGTGTTTTGTTTCTGTTTTATCCAGCCACGTCTAAGGGAAGTAGTAAAAGTCCAGATAGATTCAGATGCAGTTTGTTTCAGCATCTTCATGAAGGCAATGATTCTTACTTAACCCAGGTCATTGTATCCATCGTCCTGGTCCCTAAAGAACCGATATAACCTGTATTTCTTCCGTATGCAATTTGTGTTTTCTAGTGACTTGCCTTTGTAGCCCACAGATAAATATACTTGAAGCTTAAAAACTCCTTCTCTTACTCTTTTTATTTATTTTTTATTTTTATGGTCTCTCACCCATAAGCAAACAAACATTTATCACGGACAGCACCCACAGAGAATAATATAACATAGCCTTAGATAAAATAACCTGTGTACAAAGTACCGATCTGTTTACTACAGAAGCAGACAATCTAACAAACTCTATCTTATGTTGAACAACTGGCCAGATTTTTTTTCTTCGTTAAGAAGGCGGTAAACACTCTTGTTCCTTTTATCATGTGTTACGGGGTAGTGGTGCGCAATATGAAACATTTCAGTGGATTCTTGGAAAGCTGCAACCCCAAACAAATGGCTTCTTATCTTCCTCGTTTGTAATGCTGCAGCAGTTCTAAAATAATCATATATTTAACAAGCACTTACTGTACTTCTAAATGCAGATATGGAAGCTGCTAGCTATGTATTTGATTGATACTGATATTTTTGCAACAACTTCTATGTGAAATGGTAGAGATTATTAAGGAATTATAAATTTTATTAAAACAGACAAGGGGGAAAAAGGCAACTTTGAGGGAATTGCATTTCATTCATATGACAAATATTTGCTTTATACTAAAAATGTGTTGTTTGTGGCATAAGAAGTCCACATTTAAGATGTCTTCATCTATTGTTCCTTGAAATATTTACCAAAAAGCTTTCTCAGGTAAATGACAGGCTGTAGGGACGTCACTGACAAATGTTGCATTGCCTCTTTCATGTTTAGTATTCACCAAGGGATCATCAGCCTTCAGAAGAATTGCTCTTGTAATGCAAGGATAGAATTGTTTTTAACAAATTAAAATATAGGACAGAGAGGTCTCATAAAAAGTAAAGCAGCACCCAGAGCTTGTCAAATATTCTGCTTTGCTACCCAGAGTCTCACATGGAAAAGAGCACAAAAAAGAGAACCAGCCACTGGTTAGCAATGCATGTAGTAAAGATTACAGTGGTTTGGGATTTCGCTAAATTTTATTTCAGTTCTTCCTTTTTCTTGAATTCTTGGGCTTGCTCTTTATTGGAATAAGTTGTTCCAGTTAATACTGTCAGTATTTTTTTTCTACAAGTTTCAGTATCTAGGTCCAATATTTTATTATGTGTATGTGCATATGTTTTACTCTTTGCAAGATTTTATTTTAGAGAGCAGAACAAAAAAAGAGGAAAAAAAAAGATTACTGGATTCAAATGACTAATTTATCCTGCTATCAGTATTTTCCAAATAAAAAAATGAAAAAATAAAAATGGAGCCAGCACTATGACTACAATATTAAAGGGCTAAGTGGAAAGTGTAAACGCAAATATGAATTTCCAATACCCAATATGGCATATAATGTGAGAAATTAAAAAGGTGACTGCGAAGAAGCAGTGGTATTGCAAGATGCATCTATTTTGAGTCGAGCGAGAACTGCCAAACTTCTCGATACCCTTAGGCTAAACAAAATTATGAAGCAAGGATGTCTTTCTGCCTGGAGAATCTCTAAATTATGGGTCTACATTGTCTGTGGAGCCTGCCTAATGTATGGGAAGAGGCACTGCCAGACGATGATTTCAAAAAAGCAATTAGCAGCTTAGCAAATACTTGCTATCTCTGGATAACCTCCTGGAGAGGTCTGAGTCCCCTGACTAAACAGTGATGCTGGCCAGAAACTTCTCCCGTGGGGACATTCAACAAAACTGGCTGCCACCAGGGAAATAAATCTGCATGTGTGTGCCTGCAGGCATGGGGTCCAGCAGCCCACCAAGTACCACTGTGAAAATGCTGCAGTGCATCTCTCTGCCATGATCACACTTGGCCTTTCTCAAATTAAGCTACCACCTGTGTATCCTATGCAATATTTGGGGAGTTCTTGAAGAAAGGTTTAACTTTTTTTTTTTTTCCCTTCATATTTTAATCAGATTTTCAAAGCTAGTTTTATTACTTTTTATTACATTGTTTTTTCTTCTGCGGTTCCAATTAACAAAGAGAATGGGGATTCCTAAAGTAAAGGATCCAATTTCTTTTTGCCTCTTAGCCATTTAGCTATGTAGACTGAAAGGAATAAGAGTTTGACCAGTTTTGTGTAAGTAAAAAAGAATGATGGACTGCTGCATCATGACAGCAATGCTAATTACAGATATTTTAGGGAAAGGGGTCCTGTCAAATTAGTCTCAGTTGCATGAATTTTAATTTTTCATTTCTTTAGAATAGTGTAATGCTGGGAGAGGTGTCCTGCAAGAATATTTTTCTTTCCATCTGCCACTTGGAAACAAAGCTGAAGCTCTTCAGGAGTGCTTGGGTTGGGACTAATCTCTCAGTGATACTGCAATATTGCTAGGTGGTTTTAATATGTGATTAACTGAATGGAGGATTAGAAAGAACTGTCTTTCATTATCTCTGTTCCCTGTGTACTCCTGCTGTTACATATACATACGTGTATATTACACATATACAGGCTTCAGGTCCTACTAGGGTCTCTACAAAATGTGATCACAGTCTGTCATCAACGAAGGGTTTAAATACCAAAAATAAATGTAATAAAATATAAGTCTGTACTGCACATTAAAATCAGACTAAAATATCCATACTGGTATACATTAAAATTTTTGATTATATGTTATTATTGGAGGTAACATTATAGATTTAATTCTAAAATTATTAAGACAGCAGCAACACAGTACAGACATAGCATCAGTAATTAGCTTTTAGGCTTGCTTTTATATATATATATATATTCCCTCTTTATATAATTTATGGGGGACATAGATTATTCGGAGGCTCTGGAGATCGTATGATCAATGCAGATAGAGCTAGATGGAGCCTTAGGAGGTCAGGTAGTTCAGCCCCCTGCCCCAGCTGGAGCAATTATATCTAAACCATGCCTGACAGTTAATTAGCAAGCCTGTTCTTAAACCCTCCTGTGATTGAGATTCCACTCTCCCTTGGCAATTGATTTCGACGCTGAACTATCTTGACAGCTAGAAAGATTTCCCTAATGTCTAAACTGAATTTCCCTTGCTGCAGTTTAACCCTTCTTGTCCTACCCTGTGAAGAATAGTTTTGTTCCTTCTCCTTGACAGCAACCTTTTGCATAATCGAAAACTGCTATCACGGAGGGTTCACATCATTTTATAATTAAAAATAAATAAATAAATAAATCCCAGATCCTCCGTTCTTTTCTTGTAGTTCATGCTTTCATGCTCGCTGATTTTCCTCGTGGTGCTCTGAGAGAGACCCGGCTCCTCTCCCTGATGACACTGGCCTGCTCTGAAGAACTTCATGTCGTCGTGGCCACCCTCGCCTGGCGCTGTGCTTGGGGTGAGGATTGCTGCAGCCCCATGCTGAGCTGGGGCACCCGCACGGTCTCTGCAGATCCGTGCCTTTACACCGCATTTCCCTTTGCAGAGCCACTTGCCAGCTTTCTTGGAGCACTTTGATATTATAGCTGAAAGGTACTCTGAGAATTGTTGGAGTTTTTCTCTTACAAAACTATAGGTCTGTAATTTACATCATTTAATGTGACAAGTACAAATCAATCCACACAGCATATATTTTTAAAATGTTCCCGTTTTATTATTTTATATAGCTAGGGCATATTTTAAATCCATTTACTAGGACAAAATGTAGGCAGTTAGACAGCACCAGTCCCAGCCTCTGATTCTGCCACATGAAAAGGTGTGGTAGGTCAAGTCTGTTTAAGTAGGACCGTGACATGGTGAGGCTGATTGCTTTAATAGCACAGTTTTGATTTGTGGCTTTTCCTCCTGGGCACTTTGTTGAGACTTGAGGACCTCTCTTTAGCTGTCTATGGAACTCAGCTTTTGTAATGACCTGCTGCATGCTCATGGAGGGCAGTGGCAATGCATTTCAGTGATGCTTTTGAGCCCCATCCATTGCTAATTTAGTAAATCAGCTCTGGCACATTTGTTTCATTTGGAATCGAGCAATCCCTGCACAGAGCAGGCAAAGAAGCAAATAAGTAGCCCTGACATTTTGCTTCTGACATCTTCAAAGATTTCTTAGAATGAAAAAGTAGATTAAAACCATCTCAGGCCAAAGTGAGGGCTGTCTTTATCACAGAATTTATTTACAATACCTATTTTTCCAGCTTCGTTATCCTGCTATTGTGCTAGCAGGAGGAGAAATTCAGACTGTGACCATTAGCGCCCAAACTTCTGATGAGTTGTTCTCAGAAGCTTGTTGTAAACACAGACAGAAGCAGCTGGTCTCAGTGAGCAGGCCACGAGAAGGCAGAATTTTGATGAGAGATGTAGGTTGCTAACGGCTGTGGTGTTTGCATTTTCCAGAGTGATGCAGCTCTTCAAAGAGGTCAGTCAGCATCTGAAGAGTCAGTGTCAGCTAAAGTTCCTCTCAACATCACTAAAGCCTCTGCTGGCAGTTGTAGACTTTTTTGTATATATAACCTAGTTAGACAAATGGATGCAGGGAAGGCAGGGAAGAAGAGAGACAAGGGAAAATAGCAAAAAATCCTATTCCTCAATGGAATACCAGGGTAAAGCATCATTTCACTATGCATGTAATTTAAATATCATATAAAAAAAAACAACAAGCTTTTTATTTTAAATAGATCACAGGTTATCCTGCTTTATTCATGCATCCAACATTTATTAATAACAAATGCATGAATATATTTGAACCTCAGGGCTTCCCAGTCTATCCTTACACATGTACAGTTTCAACACCTCAGAATTATTAAGCAACCCGATCACATCATGCGTAGTGTTGGGAAAAGTATGAGAGGGCATATGGTACTTGTCTCCAGGAGCAGAGCTCTCCATTGCTTTTGTTGTTCTGTATCACCATCTTAATGCTTTTTTAATGGAGTTTTCAGAGGGTGAGCACTGTCAGCCCATTGTCGGCTCCGCTCTGCATAGAGGAATGAGCAGTACATGCTCTGCGGAAGCAGGGTGGAAAATTAAAGAAGGATATCATTTAGGTATGGCAGCAAGCTTGCTGATGAAGCGATGGTGCTTTCTGTTCTCAGGCATGACTTCTGCCAGTTTAGCAGTGATGTAGGCTGAAATTATTTTTCATTATGTTCATACCAGTCTGGTGGCTTGCAGTGAGGAAATACTTTGGACAAAGTGGTTCCAGAAAAACAGTGAATTAGTTTATAAATAACTGAAATCACTGCATAACTCATGAATTGTTTCGATGAGCCCTCTCATTTCTCTTTATATTTTCTCACTAGGTTTTCTCTGATAGGAAAATCAGCGCTGACTTCTGAGGCCTCAAGTGCTGTAGAATATTTCACAGGAAGGCCTTATGGAACAAATCTGTTTTTAAATGAAATAATGCATCCGTATTATTTAGTTCCCTGTCCAGCAGATCACTTAAGCTGTTGACTTCTGTTTGACAAGTCACATATTTAAAGTTCTGCTCAAACTAGTGTGTCTTGCTGGAGTGGTGCCGTATTTGGATGAATAGATCTTTGATAAATGAACTGCTGCTTTGTTGTGGGGTTTTCATTGCTTTTCTTTCTATTGTCTCTTGTGTAATAAATCTGCTCGCAATTTTTATTTATTTATTGCTTCCCGAGTGTCATGCCCCTGTGTTCATAACAGGGTCTAACAAAATTTTCAAAGCATATCGCATTGCTCATGTAGCAGATACAGGCATGTGGAAGATGGATTTACAGAAGCAGGTAGAGGTGAGAATTTCAGGGCACAGCTGTCTCACCAAGAACAATAAGTGATTACGTTTGTTTGATTACAAAGTGAAGAGGCGTGAGAGAGCGAACGGATTGCTTTTAGTGGCTCCAAGTGATATTTCTGGATGACACTTTAGAATAAGTCATTGCACGAGCTAGCTTTGGTAGCAGAAAATCACAGGTTTATTAAACAAGCCCAACGCACAGACAGACAGACATACCCATAATTCTAATGCAAGCTGTGACTGGAGAATATAGGAAGGCCCCATTGCTGTTGAGTGATAAGTCTGACATGTAATTCACTTGTTTGGGCCGTTGTCTGTAGCTGAGGTGGCTTTAATCTGAATGTAAAAACGTCCATCTCAAAGTGCCATCAACTTCACTGCAAGTTGTTGCTGCAGTGGGGCAGAGCAAGAGAGAAGAATATAATTAATTAAAATTTGGATTAGAAGATGAAGCAATGTAAAAGCATTAAGCAGGGCTTTATTTACAGACTGTACATCAGCTACACAGACAAAACAGGTTTAAGCAATGCTAGAATAAATTTATCTGTTCTGAATTTAGCTGTTTAAATGAATTTATCTGTTCTTTTAAAATTATTTAGGACATTATCTACCCAAGATCTGTATAAAGGCGTATTGCTCTTATACTAATGAACAGATGGAAATTCCGTGGCTAGGCATCCTCCCCCGCAAAGGAGAGCGGATAGAGGGGAGACAGTAAGTGAAGCAGTGCTGCAGAGCATAGATAACAAACTATTCTGCATGTTCCCTGCAGACAGGAGAGGAAGTGGTGGATTGAAATTGCAACAGGAGAGCTTGGCTTTAGGGAAGCTCGAACAATGGGGATAGTAACACACATGTGTGGGCTGATTAGAGACAGCAGAGGGAATGGAGTGTCTTCAGGCAGGGACCTAGATGAGGTGCTCTCAAGACGAGCTTTCTGTCCTTCTAGTGACAGCTCTGGGACTGAATTCCTCAGGTCAGAACTGCTGCAGGACCTATGCAGAAAGCATGCAAGTACGTGCACGCATGTATGAATGTAAGCGTAGATGGGATAGAGTTGAGTTTTAGAAATGAAATTGCATTTATTTGTTTCATAGTATTAAGTTTATGGACTTTCTTCATGTTTCTACTATTTACTTTTGTTTATAGTTACATTAAGTAGAAGAGTCTACCCTTCTCCCCCAGAAGACTCCTCTCTCAACAACGAAAAGCTTCTACCATAACTTCAGTGCTACATGAAGTTGTAGAAATGCTGCTGGGTTAAGGTTTGGAGACTATTTGCATGTGTCTGTAGCTCAAATGTGTTGTGAGAACAGGCATAGCAATGTGGAAGGCCCCACAGATGTGTTTCAGAGATATCATGGAGTCATGTGGTTGGTGCACGGAGATATTCTGTTTCCTCTCCCATTGATTTTGGTTTCTGTATCTTTTGAAGAAGTACGTAGGCATGTCTTTCCAATGACATCACATATGCTTTCTGCAAGGAAAAAGAAAACATGGAAGTTTCTTCAGCGAGAAGAAATCTCTGATGTTTTTTTTGATACCTCCTACATTTATGAAAAGGCTATGGGACCAATTCCTGAACTTGACTAGTCTCCAGTTTGTTTTCTGTGGTTGTTTGGTCTCACCTAACCTAATTATCATCTAACAGCTGGCCTTGGCAAGTACCTCAGGCCTGTTCAATAATCAATAGAAAAGAGTCTCCTCCAGAGGATGTCTTATACCATCCTAAGGAAATTAGCTAAAATTGGTGGGCTGAATCACCTCTGGTGATATTTATCCCTTTCCATCAAATATAGCAAGAGTCCAGATGACTGGCTTAAACTGGTGATTAAGGAGATGAATCCTGCTCTCAGGTGATGTTACAAGAGGTCTGCTTCTTATAGTGTCTAATTTCCTAGCCTTGTGGAAAATCAGCTTTCTTGTAGCTCAGCAACGGGTAACAGTGGCCTTTCCTATAAGCCTCTTTCAGATGCAGTCCTCCAGTCCCAGCTCTGGATACTGCCAATTTCTGCTCAGTCCTTCCAGCTCGCTGTGAGCTGGCATCCACTGGAGCCCTGCAGTCAGTGCCCAGTGTCATTGCAGCTGCTCCCAGACATTCAGGGGTGGTAAAAAAGGAGGACACGATGTTCCAGCTCCAATCCTGACATGCCTCAGGTAGGGATGGGAAATAAGTAACACCACAGGGCTCCACAGTTGCATCTGCTCCCCAATATTAGTCCCAAATGCTATAATAAACATTTATTTCGCATGGCAGTAAGTTAGAGCATAACTTCACATCTTCACTCAGCCACTCCTCCGCTGCTTCTGGTCATCTGATTTGCTTCTGCATTCCTCCTCTCAGACTCTCTTTCCCTTCCCACGAGTTGTACATGGGAGTCCTTTCCTAGTGTAGCTTTTGGATCAAACTGACCTTCCCTAATACCGTAGGTGAATGTATCGCTTTTAATTGTAGCCATGCAAAAGTTAGTTGCTCGTTCTAAACCAGGATTCCCTGATAATCAGCAGGTGTATTCAACTCGTCTGAGTCATGGTCTTACCTGCTGGGCACATCAGCCTATTACCTGCAGGGCAAACCTGTGTTTTGGCTGAATGCTTCTTGAATGGCTAAGATGGTAAGAGGCTTAATGGCTTAAATGGTAAGAGTACACATCAGTGTACTGGGGGATGTACAGGGATGTTCCCTGTATCTTATGCTTTCTGTTCTCTTCAGTGCAGTTCCTAAAAATCCCGTGTAAGAGCTCAGTTTTCACCTTTCACTATTCATGAGAATTATGTTGGAAGGGTATTTTTCCTGTCCACAATAGCGTGTCCAATAGAATATCATTAATTGCTCTCAATGACCTACTGTAAATGTAGTGGCCCAAAGCAGCACTGCCAAAGGTGAACACCAGTTGTATATCTGCTAGACCATATTTCCATGGTTTGTTCAGGCAATTTTCAACTCAGATGAGGAGTCAAATACTCTCAAATGAGTTTTTCTTCATTCTGGGTTTTCTTGCAGATTTTAAAAGCTGGACATGCACGTAAAAGTCAGCCCCACAGTCCCTGTGGTGTATTTTTATCATCAAATATTACCATGTACCACAGCAGTCTGTTCTTACTGGTGTATATTGATGTTTCTGAATTTACCTGGACTGAAATCATAGTCAGATTTCTAAATGCATTCTGTTTCCATGTGCATTACATTATAAATCAGTTTCATTTTATTCTTGATGTTATCCTGCTGCAAAATATAGAGAAAACACTCAATAAATGAAATTACACCTGTCTGATTCTGAAAATCTAAGTAATGCTAAAGGCCTTCAGCTGAAATAAATATATTTCTGCTAGAAAGGTTTTTCAAGTCCTCTTCCCCCCATAAATTCTGACTTTATTATTTTAGCACAGATAAGATAATACTCTCGAAATATGATTGCAAGGAAATCCATAAGACGAGTATGACAAACCCTGTATACTTCATGAAATTATTTTTTTTTTTCAGCAAGAACAAATGCACAGCATAGTGCATGTCATCCAAACGGCAAGAGGAAGGAATTGTGTTTCATCAAGTGAAAATCTACCATCAGCAAGCTCGTCTATTTCTTAGTGGCATCATTGGGCTTTGTAAATTTGGACTTGGGGGATCATAAAACCCCAATCTGTGTACTGTGAATTTTCTAGAGAACAGTGCAGCATTTGAATTCTGAATAGTCTCATCAGTATGTGTAATAATATATTAGTTTGTAATGTTTAAGTGACTTGGTAAGAAATCTGAGGAGGAGGACTAGCTACTAAACTTGTCAGAAATATGTTCCAAGTAAATACCAGGAGAGGAGAAATAAAGATTGCGTTGGTATTTTTCCACAGCAGCTGCATAGTGAGTTCTTTCAGATTTACAACTTTCTTTTGTAATATCAAAGCAAAACTGTTAATCATATAAAGGTAGGATATTAAGTAAGTTGCACATGGAAGCATTTTCTGAGTACTTTGCACTTTGGGTGCACGTTCAGTGACATACTTCACTGTTCTGGTTCTTTTTCACTGAATATTGTGTGGAAGTCAATTTACCTTTATTCCATGTGGCTCATGATGTGTATGCGAGTATATTAAGGCTGTAGTAAATTGAGTGTTCTCCCATTGCAGGGGCTAAAATTGCTTTCTACTCAAATGTTCTTCAACAGTCTGATTATGTGAATATTTTTTTTTTTGAGGCAAAATTTCCTGTAAATTCTTAGATACAATTTGTTAAAAATCTTGCTTTTAAAATCTTACAGATAAAAACTATTTTTTTTTCTCAATATAGGAAGAAAAAAAGGCAGAGAGCCATATAACCTCACATTGCAGCTAGCTAAATCTCTTTGAGAATTGATGCCAGTGCTCTGGGATGCTAAGTATGAAAGAAACAACCAAAATTGCATAGTACTTGTTTGCATATTTCATATTTAAACAGAAATAACTTTTATGTTGTGAGAAAACTAATTTAAGCTAGAAATGAAGGTCCTGTGTTGTTTTGTTTCTCACTTAATCAACTCTCAGTGCAAAATTAGGCTGTGCCCAGGATGGGTAATTTAGCCATGAAAATGTCCTCAGTTGGATGTTGTAAAGGAGTTCTTGTCATAATTTGGTTATATTTTCTAGACTGTGGAGTTATCCCAAACTAATTCCCATTGAAACTAGAGTGTCTTGTTTGGAAGAACATCCAATTTACATGTAAATTTTTCAATTAGGGTCTACTGTAACTTGTAATGTTACACTATATCTTCTAGCCCTTTAATTGGTTATTTTTTTTCCTCAGTATTCTTGGTTTCTGGACCCCTGGGTTACACTGAGAAAACAGAACATCGGTCTGGTTTTTCAACCACAGCCTAACCAAGTAAGTAGCAATATAATCTTAATATCTGTAATATCTGTTCTGTTCTTCAAGGACCCTGGTCATCCCTTTGGAAAACTGTTGCACTGGAGAGTTATGGTCAACCAACCACCTTTTAGGGCTTCCAAGTTGTTGTTATTATTATTATTATTATTGTTGTTATTATTATTATTATTATTATTCACAGATTGACATGCACAATATGGGCTACACCAGGCTTATATGGCAATCAGGCTGGGTGATTTTCCTGTCACATTCAGGTGTTGTGGAGCCACGTCTTCACATTACAGATGTAGTAAAGCAGCTGGTCCTGCTCCTCCACACAGCCAGGAGGAGGAGGACGGGCAGGTAGGCTGTTGGAGATGATGACTGCAGTGTAGCATCTGCCTTTGAGGAATTTGAGACTTGTCACTTGTTTCTTCTATCCATAACACTTGAATTTCCATATTCTCCTTTCACTTACTGAGGATCAGTGTCTTAATTCACCTGAGTGGACGAGACTGGACTGCTGTGCTTTTTGCAATAAGCGGAGAGCCAAAGGAAACAATCGTTTAATACTGTGTGAGACAATCATACGCATTTCTTTTGTTGTCTATTGTTTTCCCTTAGTAAAGGGAAGAAATCCAAAACAAAAGAGTAGTTTATTAATTATACAATTTGAAGTCTGTCTTGTTTTGCTTTTCTTCTATTGTCTGTGCCTCCACCACAGAAGTGATAACCTCGGAACACCAAGAACAGCATCTGTGTGTTAATTAGGTACCTTAAAATTAGAGTATTATTCCCTGCTCCATCCAGCTCCCTCTGTGACGGGATTTTCAAGTAATGTAGATGGTTTTTGTGACACAGACACCTTAACTGAACAGACTAAATTCCTATTTTCTTTTTAAAGATGAGATTTGAAAAATACTGATATGTATCCTACAGCAAAAACTAGTTCCTGTATAAAATGGAGAAGTTCCACTGAGAGATGAAGAAATTCCTTAGCAGTGCAGTATTTCTGGCATCTCTGCTGAGTAATCTTGCATCTTTATTTAGTCTCTGGAAACACAGAAATGGGTGGCAGAAAAGATACCCAGGCAAAGCTGTAACTGAAGCTAGGCACAATTCATTACTCGTTGAGGGTGTCACATGAGAAATTCTGTGTTGTCAGAGGTGGTAAACTGTGCCTGGCTTCTTGATTAATATTCTGCATCTTTTTTGGCACTAGCTAATTATTCTCAGTGTTGACCATGGAGTCAGAATGTGAGGATCACTTAACTTACAAAGTTCCAAATGAATAGTTGTTGAGTCCAAATCTGAGATTTTAAGGAGCAGTGATAGAATTAGCTATAAAAATGCATAAATGTTAAGTAGCAAATGAAGAGGAAAAACGAGAGACATGAGATAATGTTAGCAATTTTGCTTGAAGTTTACTAGTAAAATGTGATAAACCTGAAAGTAGTATTCTTCTGATCAGCTCATTTTCCATCTCTTACACAGTTGGAGTACAGATAGATGGTAGTGGTTACTGTCTCTGGGTAGTGTACATTCTGTTTAGCTAAGGTTTCGAGTAGTACATGTGTATTGTGATTCTTCGGGCCTTTCTAAAAAATGTGATTATCAAAATTGGCCATTTTTCCTCCCTGCTGTTCATTTATGGACTCCTTGTACTGAAAGCCTCCTGTGAAGTTTATTGTGATTTCAATAGGTTTGGTATTAAAATCACCAGCATTTGTGTGCTCAGGGTTAAGATCAAAATACACAGAGCAAGTTAACCACAAGCAATAGTAAATACATGCTATAAAGCTGTAAAAACAAACAAACAAACAAAAAAAAACCACCAAACCACTGAAAATGTGTTGATGTTTGAGTAGATATGGGAAGACTCCATCCTGGCTCTGATTAATTATAGCAAAATTACCCAATTGCCAATTCCTGCCAATATAATAACTATTCTCTCTTGAGATAAGCTTTTTATTGGTTATTCTGCTACTTTGAGGAAATTGGAAAGTCATTGGGTAAGTTAGATTCAAGCTTAATGGCATTTGAAAGTGTGCTTCTAAAATAAAATCCTTCATTTTGGAAAAAAAAAAAAACAACACACACAAGAACAAAAACAGAATCAAAAAGCTTTCTGGTTTGCTTTCCCGATCTCTGTTTTTTTCAAGACAAACCAAGTGCTTTGAATATATCATTTATATATTTATTTAGTCTTAAATTTACAGAGAGCATCATTGTGACTGTAAGCTGGATTTGCTAGCTGTTTACAAACCTTGATTTATACATACTCCTCATTTCAAGCAAGTTGCTGAAATAGCTGTTCCAGGATGCAGAGAAGTGCTACACTGACAGAAAATCACAAATCTCACATGGACAATGAACAGAAAGAAAAATCCTGAAAAAAAAAAAAAAATCTTAATGAAATATTACAAGAAAGATATGCCTGCACAAGAGGGGCATGGTAAAATGAGGCTTTCAGCTCTTAGAAACACCCTCTGATTTTCTTCTGACTTCAATTTTTCAGTTTAATAGCTGTATGACATGTAGTTGACACATCTCTGCCAGAATATAGGATGATCTCCCATCTTTATTTTCTGGGAAATCACAGAATGGTTGAGGTTGTTAGGGACCTCTGGAGGTCTTCTGATCCTGCCTCCTTGCTCCAGCCGGGACACCCAGAGCAGTATCTCTAGTGAAATTATATTTAAGACAAATGCAAAGGTATCTAAATCTGTATAATTCTGTACAAAGAAGGAATGAATAAAAAAGCCCTATGAAATCCCTTCTGTTAAATATTGCTCATTCTGCATTATTCTCTTTAAGCATGCAGCAGGTTTATTTTCCCAAGGGCAGACTTCACAGCAGCTCTGATGGAGACAGAGCGATGTGCATTGTTTGTAGGAAGCTCAGAAGCGGTCTGAACACAGTTTGGGTAAGAGGAGTCAATGGGGCTGCATCCACACACAGTGTTTCTGAATTTGGCTATTTGTTCCTGTGTCTGTGTTTCTGGATGCCATTGTTAGGTTTGACTAGATCACCTCCAGGTCTGAGCGTTTCTGCGCCCCGTGAATTGCCTTGCTTCCCAGGCTATTTTCCCTCATCACCTGGTATGAACAGGCAAAGCCCAGTGGTAAATCCATGAACATACTTAAAAAAAATAGCAGGTATCTTCGGGCTGCATTGTTATTTTCAGTTCTGT